AAATTCCCACATCCAGCAAATATGGAGAAAAAGAAATTTCTCAGAATGGAAGGATGAGAGACTCAAGATTGAAGAGCCTACTGAGTGAGCAACAAAATGAACGGGGAAAAAAAGTGCTCAGACCAGGTCACATCTTTAAAAAACTTACAGGGGCACCTGGCTGGTTCCATCAGAAGAGCATGTGACTCTTGATCTCAGTGTCGTGAATTCAAGCCCCATGTTGGGTGTAAAGATTACTTAAATAAATAAATATTTTTAGGGGCGCCTGTGTGGCTCTGTCGTTAAGCGCCTGCCTTCGGCTCAGGTCATGATCCCAGGGTCCTGGGTTCAAGTCCCACATCAGGCTCTCTGCTCTGCGGGAAGCCTGCTTCTCTTTCTCCCACTCCCCCTGCTTGTGTTCCCTCTCTTGCTGTCTCTCTGTCTCTGTCAAGTGAATAAATAAAAATCTTTGGAAAAATAAATAAGTAGATAAATAATTTTTAAAATTGTATATACTTAAGAACCATAGAGTTCTTCAGGACTCTAAGGAGAAAGGGAAGATTCCAAGATCTTCCTAAAAAAAACTAAAAATAAAAAAAAAAGCAGGTAACATACAAAGGATTAGGAATCAAAATCATTGCGAGTCAGAAAAAATGGAACAAACCCTTCCCAACGCTGAGGCAAGATGATTTTCAACCTAAAATTCCACACCAGTCCAGGGAAACTCTCAGTCAAGTATGAGGGTAGACTAGAAACATTTTTAGATATGCAAGATTTCAAAGTATTTATTTCTATGTATCTTTATTCCAAAAGGATCTAGGGCATGTGCTACTACAACCAAAGGAGTAAACCAAGAAGGTGGAGGACACAGAATTTAAGAGAAGCGGTCCAACAGAGACAAGTACAGTTGCAGTCCCAGGGCGAGAGCTACACAGCAGGCCCAGAGAGGGTCGGTTCAGATGGGAACAGAGGATGGAGAGCCGCAGAAGGAAGGCTCCCAGAAACAAACAACTGATGTGCTTAGCCTATGTAGAAAGTATGGACAAGTGTGTAACAGAGATGAGGAAGCATTTTTTTAACAATAAAGAATTAGAGGAGGCCTAAGAAACTTGGTAAATGGATCTTTCATAATTTAAAAAAGAAAATCAATCAAATAACAGAAAGGAAATGATGATTAACTCCAGGTGAAAATAAAGAGTTCTACAAGAAAGCAAGCATAGGGGCACCTGGGTGGCTTAGCATCCGACTCTTGATTTTGGCTCAGGTCATGATCTCAGGGTGGTGGGATCGAGCCCCACATCAGGCCCCACATTCAGCTCAGAGTCTGCTTGTCCCTCTCCCTCTGTTCCCCCTCCCCGGCCAAATAAATAAATAAAAGATTTTTATTTTTTTAAAAGATTTATTTATTCATTTGAGACACAGAGATAGAGAGAGAGAGAACATGAGCAGGGGGAGAAGCAGAGGGAGAGGGAGAAGCAGGCCCCCCGCGGAGCAGGGAGCCCGATGCGGGGCTCGATCCCAGGACCCTGGGATCATGACCTGAGCCGAAGGCAGATGCTTAACCATCTGAGCCACCCAGGTGCCCCTAAATAAAAGATTTTTAAAAGAAAAGGAAGAAAGCACGGTCATAGTACACTGCTTGGCTCTGCAGCAAACAATGAATAATTATCATAGTGGAAGCACAGACTACAGAGTCAATCCAAAGTTGTGATATAACTATATCGGCAGAGATCGGGAGGTGGGCAGTGTGAGGATGCGTAAGAGAGGTCAGCCCCCATCTGTCATGGCAACAAATCCATAGATTGAAACCAATGGATCAAGAAATCTCATTATATGCATCCTGTTCAGAAATACAGACAAAAATACCAAGGGAAACATCGGAGAGCCTCTTGGAAGTTGGCCTATAGGGTGGGGCTGTTACTTTTCATTACAACCCTTTCAGTATGATTTGGCTTTTAAAAATGTACTTGGAATATTTTCATATATTTAGTAATTTTTAAAGAAAATCAGAGAACTAGGAAAATGAACGATAGATTGGTTGCTAATCTAAATGGATCTCTAGTGGAATCTTGGTGAGTAAAATTCAGAGATTGTAGGGAAATGGTTGGGGGAAAGGGTGAAGAGGTACAATTATCACATGAGTTCATACTGGTGTGTTTTAATTGTACTGTGGTTATTTATGAAAGTGTACTTGGTTTTGGAAAATACATGCTAGAGTATTTAAGAGTAAAGAGACATCATGCCTGCAACTTACTTTCAAATGGCTCAGAGAAAAATTTTATATAAATATACTTTACATATTATGTATATGATATTCTTTTTATTCTAAAAATAAAGCTTAATGAACATGGGATACTAAATTTTTTAAACAATAAGTATTAAATACTTTGAGACTGGACAGCAATATCGTATCCTTCTAAAACTTGGGGGCAACCACAAAGTCTTTTTTTTTTACCCAGAAAGTGAATTTAAATAGTTTAAATGAAAAAAAACCAACAAAAAAATTCTTGTTAATGAATACATGAGTTGAATGAAAAGCCAATGAATAACTTTTATGTTCCAGATACCTTGAATCAAAGTCTTTACCTTTAAGTATCTCACAGTTTAGAAAGGGAGACACTGAAGAACTAAGTTACAATTATTGAGATAAGGACAACCATTGCAATATGCACAAGGCAATGAACATTGCAGAAGGGAGGGAGTTTTGTGTTGCAGAAGGTGGCGTTAGGGAGCGCTTTACAGAAGAGGTGAACACTGAGCTCAACGAAGCTTCTCAGGACATCAGATGGCCAAAGGATCAAAAGGTAAAATGTCCGAAGTAACTCATTTGATCCCTAAAACTACAAAAGGTCTGTGCTGTTTTTATCTCTCTTGTACAAACCAGGGAAGAGATGCATAAGGTTAAAAAATAGATGCTGGAACAGGGGTTCCAGGGTTCAAACCCAGACCACCATCTTAGCCCTGTGCTACACTGACTGACTTTTGGGATCTCTGGAGAGAGGCATTCAGTCAAAAGGCACAACGCCCAAGAAAGCCAAGCAGTATCTCAGGCACAGTGGGAGTGATGCATTGATGTTCTCAGTTTAAACTTTGAGACCAGGCATGATATGAATGCATTTTACTGAAGAATGGGTTCAAGTAAGGGTGGAAATGGGCAATGTGGTCAAAGAAGGAATTTGGACATTTCAAGATCCAGGGGGCGTAAACAAACGTGAGACCGAGGTGATCACTGGAGTTGAAAAGACGAAACATTTATTAAGTTACGGTCCTCTAAGGAGAGACAACAAGGGGTTAAGGGTGGAGAACGTAACCATCAGACAGGGCTGAAGTCCTCAAGAAAACCTGTGCATCCTTCCTGGAGAAAGAGAAGGACATTTAGGATGAAGAAAAAAGCAGAGTGTGGTAAAATGGCCTGAACTTCAAAAGGATAGAGGTTGCTTTGTCCTAGTAGGACAACGGCTTGGAAATGAAAACTGGGTCTCAGGAGTATTTTTGAGTGAAGGTTGGGAAGGAAGAAGTGATGTTCAGGGAAGAAAGTTGAGTGTCCCTTAAGGTGAGGTCTTGGGAAGAGAACTTGTGGGAAAAGGTGGAGGTGTGAAGAAACAGGCTTATAATGGACTAGGGTTTTTCCGGGGTTCTTTTGTAGGAAGCTGCTGAGTCAAATGGAGTGGAGAGCATGGGGTGAACCTGGGTAAGACTGAACTGAGCTGGAAAGGAAGGAGGGTATGAGGGGTGGGTGGGCTTGTTTGGCGGCCTGCTGGAGGCCCATACCCTTGAAGGGAGAGAGAATGGCGAATAATTAGGTTGGGATTTGTCCTTGGCAGTACGAGGGGGCTTTAGCCAGCCTGACCACATACTATGTCCTAACATCTGCTGGGCACCGGGATGCATGAAGCGGCTATAGAGGGGTGGGCCAGGGGATCCTCTGCTTTCATATACAACCTCCCAGTGCTGAAGGGGCTTTAGGGATCAGAGCTGGCTCCTTTCCTCTTCCCCAGGAGACCCATGAGGCCCAGAGAGGTTAACTAAGCCAAGGCCACACAGCTGGTTCAGTTCTAACGCTCGCCCGCCCCTTTCCTACTTCCCTCCCGCACACGCATTCGGCCTTTTCAGCACCAGCGTGGCTCCGAGGGACGCATCCCCGGGTGGAGAGAAACCCTGCGGGCGTCGCCCGGCCCGGCCCCCGCCTCCGCGCCGACCCCTCCGCGCGCTCCACCTGCGCTTCGCGGTTGCGGTCGCACCCAGGCCGCTGCGGGCGCTGCCGCCGAAGAAGGGAAAGTCCAGCGGGGGATGGCACCCGGGCGCGCGCCCAGGCCCTACGTCAACCTGCGGCCACGGCTGACTTATTTTGGACCCGGCTGGTTACATCAGTCACGCCGAGGGCGCTCCTCAAACCCGCGACCCCCTGAGCACCTTCGCAAACGGGCAAACCCGCGAGGCTCACCCCGCCCCAGCTGCCCCGGGACCCAGCGCGGCCCCGGGGCGGCCCTGGAGGGACCAGTGGCTGCGCCCCCGCGGAGACCAGGGGGCAGAAGGGGACCGTGGGGACTGACTTCGACGCCTCGCGACCTCGCCACCCTCCCCAGCTTGCGGAGACCATGACCGTGACCGCCGCCCCAACTAGAGCTCAGAGCCTGCCAGACAGGCGCGCGCTACGGGGCGGGGCGTGCGGCTCGGGGGCGTGGCACGTGCGGGGCGTGGCGCGCGGCTCGGGGGCGTGGCGCGGTGCGTGGCGCGGTGCGTGGCGCGGTGCGTGGCGCGGTGCGTGGCGCGGTGCGTGGCGCGGTGCGTGGCGCGGTGCGTGGCGCGGTGGGGCGTGGCGTTGCGCCGGCGGGCGACGGGGGGGCCGCGGTACGAAGTAGGGCGAGACGTGCGGGCGCGCGGGGGCCGCGGCTGGAGGCAGGCGGTGTCCAGGCCTGGCGGGGTGAGGGCAGTGCGGTGGATCCGTCAGATCCGGGCCGTGGCCTCCCGGGTTGGGGGACTGGTGGTGGAGGATGGTCGCGGTCGGTGGGGGAGGGGTGAGGATGTGGGCGGGGCCGCTGCGGCGGAAGCCGGGGAGGACAGCGGGGGCGGGGGCGTCTCCAGGGAGCAAGGCCCTTTGAGGAGGCTTCCTCCGGGCGGAAAGACGAAGCGAGACTCCGCGGGGGATTCCCCCACTCCACCCCAACCAGGGACCGGGTCGCGGTTGCACGGGCCCCAGCCCAAGGTGCGGGTTTCTATAGCAACCAGCGGGGATGGCCAACTTGTCCAGGTTTGCCCAGGATGTGCTGGTTTGGGCACTGCAGGCCTGCAACCCACAGAAGTGATCCTCTTCTGCCTCCCGCGGTTCCACCCAGAGTGGACCTGGGAGGCTGGCGGAAGGTCGACCTTTCACACTGCCTTTTTAATATTAGGGTGAAGGCGCCCCGCACAGCGCTTTCCCGACCAGGCCCAGGCATGCCGGTCCTTGTAAGGCAAAAACTTCGATGGGAGCCTACCTCCCTAAAGGTAGGTAGCATACAGGAGGGCACATTTTGCTTTGATATTTTGTCCTGTAGGAGAAGTGAACTGTCAGCCCAGTTGGGGAGCAGTGAGGACGATCTTATGCACATACCAGAGCTTTAACAATAGTGACCTCCGTTTGGGAATTTCGTCCTCGCTCTGGAACCCCAGCATTCTGATGTCCAACCAGAACAGACGTTAGCTTCAATTTTCCCATCAATTTGTCAATCATTAAACTGGGAAAAAATCCAGAGAATTAGGAAAGATGATAGGTTCCAGAGAGTGAAGTCCTTTTTCTTTTTTATCTTTTCTAACTCCAAAAGCCTCGTGGTGGACCAGCTGTTTGACGCATTTAGAAGAAAGAATGACACCCCTACAGAGGAACATGATGTGAATGGAAGAGACCTGTCATTGTGAGTCTGGCTTTTGATTAGTCACCTGGTGTCCTCCCCAGGGTGACATGACTTTGAGGCAGTAAACTTCAGTGTATGAGGTCTATTACCAGCCTGCAGTTAAATTACAGAAATGGCAGGACTTACCTCAGTTCTCTTTTTGTGTGGTCTGGAACATCTTTGAGTCACCTTGGAAAAGATGAGTATTTTTCATGTGCCTCTAATGAGTCAGTTCATAATATTGTTACCCCAAGGACAGAAGGAAACAGGAAATCAGGTCATTCACTTATGGTTTTTTCAGGTTCCATAAGAGAAGGAGGAATGAACTTCATGATTTTTCTTTTCACTTTTTCAGATACCCTCCCCAAGAAATTGATTGGAAATGGGGAAGAAAAACAGTTGTTTGGTATGAATAATAGTAACAACAACAACAACAAAACAATCAGTTTTTCCATTCTAGGGAGAAATTAGAGATGTATGTGGAAGATAGGCAGATTAAAGTCACTGGAGTGGATATGCATTGTATATTTGATTACTTGTGTTTTCCTGGTAGATGCAAACAGTACAGCACTCTGAACAGACTCTCAAAACAGCTCTCATCTCAAAGAACCCAATGCTTGTGTCACAGTATGAGCAGTTAGATGCTGGCGAACGGCGTTTGCTGAACAAAGCCTTCAAGCCAGACAGTGATCTGTTTGGACCCATTACCTTGCATTCGGAATCAGACTGGATCATCTCCCATCCCGAGCCTCCCCAGGACTTCGAACAGTTTTTCAGTGATCCTTCTAGAAAGGCACCGTCTCCAGAGAAGCGCAGTATTTATATACAATGCATTGGTATACATTGGTAACATGCTGGATTTGGGTTGGTTTGCAATGGGGCTGTTGCCAGGGATAGCCCACTTGTTCTCATTCAAGTAGGCAGTTTTATGATCATTGTTTGACATTCATTACAGTGGTGGAAGTTTTGTACCCAAATCACCTTAAAGGGGGACATTTTGTTTCTTTGTAATTCATGTTCACGTCAGTGAGTGATAAAGGTTTATTGAAAATCTGGAGTTAGTTTGCTTCTAATATAAAATTTCTAATTATAGAGTGAGATAAAGACTGTTTAATCATCTTAAAGTCTGTCTTACATTTTTTCTATCTTCTAGGATCTCTAGGAAACACCAGAATTATCAGTGAAGAATATATTAAGTGGCTCAAGGGCTACTGTGAAGCATTTTTCTATGGCTTGACGGTGAAACTCTTAGAACCGGTTCCTGTCTCTGTAACGAGGTGTTCCTTTAGAATCAATGATAACACACAAAACCTACAAATTCATGCAGGTGAATTAAACAACTTTACAGTTTAAATTGAGTAAAGGAGATATTAGATAGATACATGTATGGATATATATATCTCTCTCACATGTACATTTTTTTTTTCAAATAGGGCACATCCTGAGGTTCCTAAAAAAGAAGAAACCTAGAGATGCCTTCTGTATTGTGGGAATAACAATGATTGATCTTTACCCACGAGACTCCTGGAATTTTGTCTTTGGACAGGCCTCTTTGACAGATGGTATTCCTTTTTGACACTTAGTAGAAATTTCCTTAACTTGAGAATATTTGAAACTGTTGATAAAGGGAAGAAATCCCAGCCAATTATCATTTTCATACTTACGACTATAATATTTCTGGTGCATCGTGCTGTGCTCAGGAAGTAGTATGCTGTGGATGGATTCTGATGATCCATCTGATGAGCCCTTCGCTACTTACATGATTTTGAGGCCAATGATAACTATTTCAGAGAGTCCTTTTAAGATAGTTTACCTAACAGTGCTGATACATAAAAAGTGTGTATATATGCCTGGCATCTATATAGACATTCAGCACAACAGATGGTAAATGTCAGTAATTCAGGGGCAAGGTGAATTAAAAACGTTAGGGGTGTTTGTACTATCATTAAGGTAAATGAAAATCTTGCTAATTGTTTTTCAGTTCTTTTCATAGTTACCTAGATAGAGTAACCATAGGCTGATTTACAAGTGTGTAAGCTTCTTACCCTGTTTCTCATGACATTTTATTTTACTTTTATAAAAAGTTACCTTCAGTTTTCAATTTGAGATATAGTAAAACTCGACTCATTAGGAATTCTGCGTGGTAATAGGGTAGGAAAGGATCTGGAAGCAAATCCTATTTGTGCCCTTTTTTTTTTTTCTTTTTGCCTTCTCTCCAGTTTTCCCCCGACCCCTGCATTTTTGCTGTAATTTCTCTACCCTTGTCCCCTAGGATCTGACAGGTTTGAAAGGGAAAGTCCAATGCACTAAGGGGAGTGGTCATCCATTAGCGCCCTGGGGGTAGGGAGTAGGTATCCGGGACAGCACTTTTGGGGTACTGGTTCGTGGACTGTCCAGGCGTAGCATTAGCCTCAGGGTTTGTTGGGGGTGGGCCCTTTCTTTAACAAATGTTTCTTTCCATTAGACATTTCTCTTTCTGACACATTCATTCGAGGTGGGAGCCCAGGGCACCGTAGAGCCTCCTCTTCCCTCTGCTCCTTCTTTGGTGACTTCTCTGTTTACATTCCTAGAGCACCCCCATCCCTCATCAACACACTCTATTGGACACTCTGGCCACGGCTATCTTTCTGATTTTTGTAAGAGCTATCTTTCTATCAGAAATAAGCTTTTTTATTTATTAGGGGGAGAGCACAAGCTGGGGGGGGGCAGTGGCAGAGGGAGAAGGAGAAGCAGACATCCCCGCTGAGCAGGGAGCCCCACATGGGGACTGGGAGGGCTCGGGCTTGATCGTACGACCCTGATACCATGACCTGAGTCCAAGGCAGACGCTTAACCAACTGTGCCACCCAGGCGCCCCTATCAGAAGTAAACTTTTATGAACTAAATTTTTATCTCCCCTTTTATAATTAATCTGACAGCGACGGGAACATTAAAAAAAAGCTAAAACAATTTATCTAGACATTGCTAGCTAATTTATCTTACGCACGTTTGAGGAGGTCAGGAGGCATTCTCCTTAAATGTTCCTACTTTAAACCCCCCCCATTTTAGTAAGTTTCTTAAGTATTAAATGGTCTAAAGAAGGTGTAAGCTAGCAGCATTGATCTGCCATGCAGTGAGATAGTATCTTACTATAAGTGACTGTACTTTCCCAAGTTTACAAAGATGGGGATTTTAAAATGGAGAAATATATAATTACTAAAGAAAATAATCTTCCATCCATAAGGTTATTAGAAAGAAAAAATGTTCTTGCTAACGGTATTGTAGTGAAATTATGCCCACACTTGGTTGGCCAGGGGATAGAGGAGGTCAGCTGTGACATAAGATTTTGTTTTTCCTTAACTTTCAGAATGCGCTCTCTCTCTAAATATCAAATATAAGGTAACACTTTGAAGGGTGGGGTGAGGAGCATTCTCTTGGGATCAAGTTGGATTGGACAGACTTACTATGAAGTCATTTCTTTAACAAAAAAAAAAATGCCTTATTATTTTCAGATAACAGCGGAAATAGGCATAAATAAAAATGACAACGTAAACAAGTCACATTATAAAGCCATGCCCTTTAGAATGTATTGTGTAGCAAACCCTGTTCTCATGTGTGCAGGGATGGTTGAGAGAAGCTTTGGTGTAACAGGAAGTCAGTTACAAGGGTATTTATTCTGGTCACCCCACAGCAGCCACATAGAGTCGTGCTCTTGAGTGAGAAGGGGGAGGAGGGTGGAGGTTCTGTGGGAAGGCATGGTGTCCAACATGGGCTCCATGCATCAGGGCAGTGAAAGAACCCTCACTGCGCTGTAGGACCTAGAGATCTGTTTATTGTGTTCTTAAAGAGTAAAGTCATGGATGCGTGGTATGTGTGTCACCATTTTTCCTCACTCCTCTTGGAGTCCTTGATTTGGGTTACTCTTTGAGAAAAAAAACTAATTTTGTGTGTGGGGGGGAATTCTAGAACTTTCTATTTCTCAAGAATTTGATCTCAAGACCCTTGAGTCTTACAGGGGCGGGGCAGTGTGGATAGCAGAAGAAGATTTTGGTGGGGAAATCTGGAGCAAAAGCCCTCCTTTGTCTTGGCAAACCTTAGGCATATTAGACCATGAACGCAGTAGCACAGATTTGCACCCAATGACTAGACGCGCAAACAGCCTCTCTTTTTTGGTTTTTCATTCAGGAACCTTACTCCCATTCTGATGTTGCTTGTCCTCCTTTTCTAGGTGTGGGGATATTCAGCTTTGCCAGATATGGTAGTGATTTTTACAGTTCACGCTATGAAGGCAAAGTGAACAAGCTGCAGAAAGTATCTTCAAGCGACTATTCCGTTTTTGATAACTATTATATTCCTGAAGTGACCAGTGTTTTGCTGCTTCGTTCCTGTAAGGTGAGTCATTTTAAAAAAAAGAAAAACAAATCTAACAGGAATGTTTTTTAAAGAGCTCTTAATTCCCTAAATCGTATATCAACAGTCCTTAAGGTCGTATTATAAATGAGTTTATATCACTCATATACTTTTGGTGGATATTGTTTGACTGAAGTTATCAACAGAAACAGAATTAGAATGGATACCTTAATACTGAAATTTACAGTATCTGTGCTGGTTTTTTGTCCTGTTAGTAGTGACACGCAACTGTCACTATACGCACATCCTCGCCACTAGTTTAATTCCAGAATTCTGCTATGAGTAAGGTAACTGACTCGTTGAAGCTGTTGTGGTCATCACGTAAAGTGGCTCCTGGAGGCCTCTGCTCTCAGGCGTCTTGAGGACAGCTTCCTCTTGGCCCAAAGCTGCCTTCTCCTGCGGTTAGTTCTGCTCACAGTTCCTGATACCTCCCCAACCCCTGCTCTTTGGAAAGCCCATCTCCTGATTTCCAGTCCGTTACCGTCATGTCCTCCCCGCCTCGGTCTCCGTAGCCAGAGACAGAGGCTTTACCTGCAGCTGGGAAGTTCTGTTTTCCTAAGTACTCCTCTTTAGGGTTTGAGAGCTACAGTGTTTTCAGAGTGTGTCCCCCACATCAGCATCACCTGGCGTGCCCAGTAACATGCAGACTGAGCCCCCATCCTCCCAAACCTGCTGACTCGGCATCTGTGGGGGAATGGCTGGAATCTGAATCCTAACAGGCGTCCCACCCTCTGGTCTATAGCAACAACTGTCCGCTGGGGCTGATTTGGCCACCCGGGGACTTCTGGCAATGTCGAGAGACACTTCCGGTTGTTGCAGTTGGGCTTGGGGTGTTCCTGGTACTCGTGGGTAGAGGCTGGGGTTGGTGCTAAGCATCCTACAGTGCACGGGACAGCTGTGTCCTCCTCCCACCTCCACCGTGGTGACGCAAAGAGTGGTCCCACCCAACGTGTCACATGTATCAAGGCTGCGAAACCCTGCTCCGGCGGAAGTAATTAAGTATAGGAAGGAAAGCAGTAAGACAATTAGGGAAATGGGGGATTAAGTCTTTGGGCAGGTTGAAGTTTTTGGTGAGGACGGGAAGGGAGTTGATTCCTATAAATTTGTTTCTTGGAAAAGCAAGAAAAAGAAGGCAGGTCTCTTTGACGATGGTGGCGCTATAAAGCCTTGCTGTGAATGTCTTGCAGACTTTAACCCATGAGATTGGACACATATTTGGACTTCGACACTGCCAGTGGCTTGCATGCCTCATGCAGGGCTCCAACCACTTGGAAGAGGCTGACCGGCGCCCCCTCAACCTTTGCCCTATCTGTTTACGCAAGCTGCGGTGCGCTGTTGGCTTCAACATAATAGAGAGATACCAAGTAAATGAGGGGAAGAAAAAGAAGGGGGGAAGTGGTTATATAAGTAGCAAACTACCATTTTCTATTAGGCCCTTCTCGGGAGCTATAATTTATCAGAGGAAATTAGTGCAGAGATAAGCAGGAAGCTGTGGTTTAAAAAAAAAGAAAGAAAAACACGCGAAGAAATCTCCTCTTAAAAACTGCCTTGCCTCTGAGTGCCTTACACTTGCAGTTCAGTGAGAGACGGTGGAGGAGGTATCTGTCTGTGGTCCCCCTTTGCTCAACTTGGGAGAACAGGCTGAATGTTGATATGTGTGGCAGAGTTCATTGTTTTTTAAAACCACAAGTATATGTGGAGATGCTTTATCTTTCCAAATATGGGACAGGGGTATGCTGTTCACGCAGAGGAAAGGATGAGTTTCTTTAAGGAGGAAGAGGGAAAGCATGTAATCTTGGTACGTGTGTGCATGTGCACGCATGCCCACAGACATGTCTGTAGTCATCACCTACCTCCTCGTGGGTGTGACTGCTCACGCAGGGATGTTTACATGCGTGTGTCTGCCTACACCTGTGTGCACACTTACATGCTGACCCATTTCCACATCAGCTTGAAAGCACTTGCCCAGTGCCCTGTGGAACCTTTGGCACGTTGAGAAAAGCATAATCCTCCCATCCAGAAAAACCTGTGAGGATTTTTGCGTTTCTCTTTCATCTTTCCTCCTGTACACACTTCTGACCATCATTTGTAATCGTAGGTTGTGTATTTTTGGTAACTGCTCCTTCACCCAGTATGTGCTGTTCCATATTCACAAACATCTTTATCAGACAGAACATCTCCCCGGGGTAATAGAAGTCACTGATTGAGATAACGTGATTTCGAAGCCAACGTGTTTCTCCTGCCTCAAACTATTTTGCCCTGATTTGTTAACATGTGAATCTGGATTTTGTTTTTCAAGGCACTGGTGAAGTGGATTGATGATGAGTCTGCTGACATCCCTGGAGTCAGCACGGAACACAGTCGGGAAGATAATGTGAATTTACCAAAACCTGTGGAAGCCTTTAAGGAATGGAAAGAGTGGATAATAAGATGCCTTGCTGTTGTCCAAAAATAAGGACCTTCACATAGGAGTAATTACAATAAACACCTTGCATATTATGCTTTCACTTGGATGCAGTACTTCATTAGAACAGACCGTTTACTGATTCTGCCCTGTGTCAAGTAACAGAATGGAACCTTCTTTAAAGCACCTGAACTTTGAAATGAGGCTTATCTGGAATGCTAAAAACTATAAACCCTCTCTCTTCTGTGTTAGTAGCCTGGTCCGTGGTAGTGAGCACATCATTTCCATTCTTGAAATATGTTTATGTCTCACAGGAGAGCTAGGACTAGCAGATAAGTAAATACAAAAATCGCTGTATGTGTCCCAAGAAAGGATTTCCAAGGAACATAATTTCCAGGGGGTGATTTTTGGTTCATTTCTTGGAAGAGGTGGTCCGCCTGCTCTAGATCCCTCATTTGTGGACTCTCCTTCCCAGGGGGGCTCCCTGGTCTCCCTTTTATTTGCTGGTTGTCCCCTTGAACCTGAAAGAAGCAATAGTTCACATGAGGTTTTGGCAGCTTATAAAATGTGACCTCTCAAGAATATTTACAAGTGAAACTCAGGGCACTTTACAACGGACATAGTATTTGTGAAGGGTCTTGCTCATAATTTGTTACAATGGGCCTTATGTTTGTGAGTGTTCCACTTTGCCTATAGGCTTGGAGCAGGTGTTAGGTTTATTCCTACAATAGTATCATTCTCACTTTGCATTGTGAAGTGTTTACTTGACGGGGAGAGTGTGACGGGGTGTCCCGTTGGTGGGTCCAATGGGAATGCCCATTGTTGGCCTGTAAGGCTGTGAACATCAGCTGGACTTCCTCCGTGGGGAACAGGTTGAAAACCGCAGACTTTTCGAGCGAGATCAGTGTATCTCAAATCTAGGAATTAGGTCAGATCATTTGATTGCTGGTGAGCAGATTGCATTTTCCCACATTCCCATCTTCACCTGGAAGGTGAAACTTAGAGGTATTTTTAAATTTTGAAGTTTGGAACCTAAATTCCCTGTTATTTATGCAGTGTGATTTAAAGCACATATACTAACTGAATCCATGCTTTCCCTTACTACATTCACTTTCTTACTTGATGAGACCTCTTAAGGTCATTTAGAAAAATGATTGTTCAAACTCATTGGAGGGCGAACACTTGGTTGTTACGAGAAGAGAATCCAAGGGAGCATGGACTTCTATGGATTCTGTTACAAGTTTTATTTCCTTGTACTATTATTGTCCACTGTCCACAGGTTTCTTCTGTTTTCCCACGAGGTAAGCACAAGTTTAGGCCTATAGGTCAGCATGAGTTACAAACCTACACACTGAGATTTGGCTAGGTGTGTAAATTAGGGGGTGTGGTTATCTGGACAAGACATAAAGTCCATTTGTACCTACTCTGCACAGACGAGGAAAGTCTTCTATTTAAAGAATCAAATCATTCAGTCCTGTTAAAAGTTGGACAAATGTTAAGTTTTACGTGATAGGCATTTATTCAGCAATCATCAATTAAGTGTGTAGAATGCATTGTATTTACTTTTGGGCAATTTCTTAGGGTAAGAATATAATGTTTACTGCAACGAAATTTTATGTACTATAGGTAAATCTTGTTTTGAGAAATGATTTTCAGTAACAAATCCACGCAGAGCTTGGTTTGCAAATGCTGAACAAGGTAAGAGTGAAGAGAATTAGTTTTCCACGGTCTTAACACCGTTCTAGAAATAAGCGAATGTGAAAAGCTGTTGGCGCTGGCGCCTGCGGAATTAGTCGTCTGTCTCCGGTCCAGAGAAGGACGAAGCGTCGTTTTCGTCCGCAAAGCCCTGTAACGGCGACGGCCGGACAGAAGACCGTGGCCTTGCCGGGCTCGCCTTCTGAAGCCCGGAGGCAGCCCCTCCCCGCCCCCCGGCTCGAGCGCGTGTCCGTTCCGCACCCCGCGCGGCCGAGGGTCGGGGTGCTGCGCTGGGGGCGCCCAGCGCCGTCCCCCGCGTCCCCCGCGGCGCCGTCCACCCCTCCACCCGGCTCCACGGCGGCGCCGTCCACGCCCCCGCGGCGCCCCGCTCCGCCCCGCCGCGAGCCCGCGCGGCGCGTCCCCGGCCTGCACCCCCGGCCGCGCCCGCGCGCCCCCGGCCCGCAGCGCAGCTTCCGGAGCGAGGGGGCGCAGGAGCCGCGGGGAGCCTGGCAAGATCGGCGCGGCGGGCAGCGGAGCAGTGAGTGCGAGCGAGCGGGCTCGGGGGCGCGTGTGCGCGGCGCTGGCTTCCGGAGGCCGCGGCTGAGCCCCTTCCGCGGCTCTGGTCCCTAAACTAGAGCAGCACCGTCCCCTACGAAGAGAGCACGGGCCGCAGATGTCACCTTAACGTTTTTGGGAGCCACGTGAGCTCGTGCAGCAAGGGGCACGTGAGATTAGGCTTGGTCACACATGTTAATTTAGTCCAGTACATCCAAAATATTACCATTTCAACCTGTGGTCGATATAAAAATGGAGAGTTTACATTCACCTCTCATTCTAAGTGTTCGAACTCCAGTGTGCACTCGACCGACACTGAGAGCACCTCTCCGCTCCGAGGGCCGCATGGCGAGTGCTCAACGGCCCCGCGGGGCTCACGGGGCTCGCGGGGCTCTAGCTTAGTACCGATTCCTGCTGCTCACGGCAAGATGCACCTCGGAAGTTGAATTAATAGGAATTCATAGGAAAGGCTTTTTAGAGGAAAAGGTTTTGCCTGTCTTCGGGCAGTACAGTGAGAGTTAGCATTCAAGCCGAGAGGATGTGAACACTCTACGGAGTCCGTATTGATGGATCGGCTTTTAGATCTTGCTGTTATTTCCCGCGGCACTGTTTTTTTTTTGTTGTTTTTTTGTTTTGTTTTGTTTTTTTTGTTTTTTACCGTCTCCGGTTGCCAAGGGCCTGGTCTGTCCTCTTAACGCGTTTTCATTTTTGGAATGCAGAATTGTAGAGTGTTAATAATGTGGATCTTGCTCAGTTCATTTCACATGTGAAGACACAGGCCTGCAGTAGCGAAGTAAACTTGTTCTCAGTAGCACCAATGGCAAAGATGGACCGGGTCCAAGTCTCCCTAATTACGAATTCTGCTTTGTTTTCCCTCTGCTGCATGACCTCATAAGTAAAATACCACGAGCCAGAAACCTAACCGGTTTTTTTTTTCTCTCCCAGATTGTTTATAGAAGAGTTACAAGATTAAACTTTCTTTCAACCTCTTTTCTATTCAAGTGGGGACATCTGGGGTTGCTCAAAGTCAGAGAAATCAGTCCATGTACTCTGCCTTAGCACCAAAAAAGACATTCAGTATCCAGAAAAGCACTTGCTACCCCTGGAGGCATTAAAAAAAAAAAAAAAAAAAAAGCATCATTAAAAAAAAGACTACTAGAAAATAGGTTAAGTTAAAACAAAATCTGCTCCAGCAATATGTTAAAACTGAGCCCTCCATCTGCACACGTACCCTCGGGATAATTTCTTCCCTCTGTTTGTTTAGTCTCGGATGGATCTATGTTTTCTTCCTTACAGCTGATTGGCTCATACAGCACTCTTGCCGGGCACTTAGAGACCCATCCTCAGCTGTTGGGACAGTAGGCTTGGATCACAGTGCTTTCAAGTGTCTTGGGGCCACCCAGCTGCTTTGTAGCGGCACCAGAGTGTCTTGAGCTGTAATTGTAAATCAGTACCATGTTCTTTCCTCTTGAAAAAGCCAATGAGAAATGAACTCATTCATTCATTCAACAATATTTTTGGAGCACCACCTACTCTGTGCGGGGCCCTGCTCAAAGCCTTGGGAAGTAGCAGTAAACAAACAAAAACCCACTATCTTAAGGTGCAAATGGAGGAGACCTGGTTAATGAATGAAAACAAATACTTGTATAACTTTTTTTTTTTTTTTCTTCCCAGAATAAAGGGTAGAAACAAGGACTGTTTTGGATAGGATAGTCAGGAATGCCTCCTCAGGAACATTTGGAGGAGACCAAATTGCAGGGTCACATCATGCACACGTCAAAGGGAAGGGTGGACTAGGGAAAAATGCTAAGGCATGAGGCTTGTGTTTTCAAGGAACAAGAAGAAGTCCAGTGCAGTTAGAGTATCAGGGAGCAAGGAAGAAAGAGCAGGAAGTTCACGAAGAACCCACTGTTAGGGATTTTAGGTTTTAAATGTGGTCATGACTGATTTGTGCCTTCAAAGGATTATTGTAAGGCTTCTGTATGGAAAATTAAAGCAGGAAAATCAAAGCAATAGCGGAATTGGGCAAACCAGCTAGAAGATGATTGCAGTAATCCAGCTAGGACGATACTGGCTTGGATCAGGGGTACTGGTGGAATTGGCAAAAGCAGGTTCTGGGTATATTTAGAAAGTAAAGTCAATAGGATTTGTGGAGGAGCAGGTTTGGGGAGGAGGGTCAAGAGTTCTGCTGAGGACATGTGAAATTGGAAATGCCTAGTTGGCACCAGGTGCTGTCACACGGGCCTGTGTGAGTCTGGAGCTCAGCTGCACAGTCGGATCCTAGAACAGGAACTGTCAGTGTAGAGAAGGCGCTTACAGTTTTGCCTGAATTCTAGGGGAGTAGGTTGCTAGGACAGTTGGCGTGCTTTTCTTGAGTTGCTGGAAAGGTATCTAAATAATATAAATCCATCGCCACAATGTGTATTTTCTCTCCATAATATTTGCTGTGCTCTATTTAAAACGCGTTTATAGATAAAATGTTCTGGAATATCACGTTTGCTGTCCAGTTTTCCCTCTAGGAAATGCATGGTCACTGAAGTAATTTTGATTTGGATGTGAGAGTTTTTCTTCCTTGAAAAGCGGAGTTGTGCTTTCCTTAAACTTGGCCCTTTTCTTCTTCTGCACCCCCGGGAGTCCTTACAGAAACTGAACACCAGGGGGAGCCAGTTTCCTTGCTTATACAGCGCCTGGCCCACCTGTTCGTGATTGCAGCCCTCCTTTGATTAGCATCTCTATCAAAGACAAATCCGAAAACAAGTCCAGCTTCTCTTTTCTCAGTGCTACTGTACTTATAGGATTGACCTTCTAGGACATAACAAGTCTGAATTGTCTTTAAATTGGTCGTTTCTGGCAACCGTCTCGGGTCCCCTCCCTCCTTGGGAGCTTTGTAGGATCACTTGATCACTTTCCTATGACTCAATAAACCTTGCTTTGCTGCCCCCCTCCCCCAAAATAAATAAATTGCTCATTTCAAGTAAACCTCATAACCTTTTAAAATTTTAAAGGCAATGGTCTCTGAACTTTAAATTCCTGTTCGCAAGCCTGATACTTGGGAGCTTTTATAAAATAAGCATTCATTGTTTCTGATTTTGAATATTTTTGAGAAAGAGTACGAAAATCTAAATGTAATAAATACCTCTAGGTAACTTGAATGGATAACTGGGCCATGGGAACCCTGACACGGGACATATTTTCTACTTTATCATCAGGCATTAAGCTGCAGGAAAGACAAAGAAATGTACATTACACATTACAGGAGGACAAAACTGGTAACTTTGTTAAAAAGGCTTGGACACATTGTATCCACAAAGGGTGCATTTGTCTTAAAAGAGCACATGATCTTTTTTTTCTCTTTTTTGTTATGTTAATCACCATACATTACATCATTAGTTTTTGATGTAGTGTTCCATGATTCATTGTTTGTGCATAACACCCAGTGCTCCACGCAGAATGTGCCCTCTTTAATACCCATCACCAGGCTAACCCATCCCCCTACCCCCCTCCCCTCTAGAACCCTCAGTTTGTTTTTCAGAGTGCATCGGCTCTAATGGTTCGTCTCCCCCTCCGACTTACTCCCCTTCATTCTTCCCCTCCTGCTATCTTCTTCTTCTTTTTTTTTTTCCTTAACATATATTGCATTATTTGTTTCAGAAGTACAGATCCGTGATTCATCAGTCTTGTACAATTCACAGAAGAGCACATGATCTTAACTCATTTTTACCACTGGAATAATTTTACTTTTAGGGAGGGAAGTAGTCTTCATTTAGACTGAAACATTATTAAGTCAACAAGGTTGGAGCAGAATCTCTTTAATCCCAGGAAATGAAAACTTGTAATTAACGTGCCATCAGCTGTTTGATCTTTCCTGTCTCTGGCACCTATGATCTAAAAGCCACATTGACCACAACGATCCTTTCCTACAGGTCAGGACGTTCCTTTTCAGAGAGGTGCTGCTGGTGGCGCTGAGCCTTCCAGGGTCGCAGATGCATGGAGCAGAGGGTCAGAAACTGCAGACCGCAGGCCAAATCCAGCCCACTGCCTGTTTTTCTTTCCGGACCACAAGCTAATAGGGTTTTGGTTTTTTTTTAAACACTTTTATGTGGTTGAAAAAAAAATCAAAATAATATTTCGTGATGAAATTCAAATTTCAGTATCTATCAATAAATTTTTATTGAAGCAGCCATGCTTGTGACTTTACATATTGTCTTTGGCTGCTTTCACACTGCAGCCGTGGGGCTGAGTAGTCATGACAGAACCCACATGGCCCACAAGGCCTTAAATATTTACCATCTGGACCTTTCCAGAACAAGTCTGCTGACCCCTGGCATGGAGAGTATGCTGTTCACTTAGAAGTCAGAGTAGCTCTTAGGACTAGTCTGTAACTGGACATAGATAGTCTCCACTATTTATTACTTTTGATAGGCTTAGCTATTACTGTGTGGTGACCACAATCTCATTTCATTCATATATTTTTCATTAAGAAACAACTAAGTTCAACAAACACTTCTTGGAAATGGTTATGTGTCTCCCGTAGAGGTAAAAGATTTTGCAGAAAGGTGAAAAAAAAATTTTATTTATTTGAAGTGAATCTTCCTTGAGCTTTTATAACTTGAGTTGGATCAAACAATGAATGCCGAGGAGTCTATAAAAAAACTAATCAGTCTCTACATAAAAAAAGCCATACATTTATTGCAAATCTAGAAGTACCAGAATGTCACAAATACAGAACAAATCAGCAATCCTGTTTTGATTTTCTTCCAAACATTTAAAACCGGATTATTGACATACTTAAGTTGGCATACATTTTTTTTTCATGCAGTTAACAGAATGGACTTAGAGCCGGTTGCTCAGAAATCAGTTATAAATATTCAATTGTATTGAACATTCATAGTAAAAAATGTTGTAAAGTGCTGAAGTTATGGAAGTTTGCAAAACTGCCACATGCTCAAAGTCCTTCTCAAGCCGTGACAGATTTGCTACATCCACCTTGATTAGGTGTGTCTGTTTGCGACAGACACTTTGTCGTTTTCTCCCCCACCCCCCAGAGTCTTCCAGATTGTCCTATTTCTATGGCTGATAAAATGCTATACAAAATGTAGCAGGTGGTGATGAGCTATGCCACTTGCATTTCAGTGCAGAGAAATATTCAAGCTTGTGTGTACCTGTAACCAAACTAGGCTTTTTATATTTTTCCCCCTGAGTTGTCATAAATTAACAGTAAAGATGAATAAAAGATGGAGCAGCGAGCGACCGTCACCTGGAGAGTGAGATTCAGTACATATAAGTAGTCACACTTGCCCTCTTTACAGAAAAATGAGAAAAGGAGAAATACATGTAGTGTAATTCCAAAAACAGACAAACAAACAAAAAAAACAAACCAACAGCAACCAGTTACCTGATAACTCTGGCAACTTAGAGCAATCAAGGTTTATATACGATGTAAATCGCAACTTGTAACTTATGATGGTAAAAATACATGTCTCTGCTACCCCATGTGAAATACAGAAATGCTTCAACAGTTAGCTGTTAAAAAAAAAATCAGAAATGCTTCAACAATTCAATGAAATATCATTCCAATCAGAGGAGATCCTCAAGTATTCTTAGGTGATAAAACAAATTATTTTAAAAAGCTAAGGCGATTATTTTTTCCCCTTCAAATAGCACATGTGGCCTTTAATCAAATTGAAGAATCATTACAACTTGGCCCTCTTATGAGAGTGACTTTACAAGATAAGAAGTATTCTTTGAGGCATTTAGAGGGTTGCAAAAAGGAGGTAAAAATGATGCTTAGGTCTCATTTTATTTCTTTTGATTAATCATCCTAGAATAACTTAATAATAAATAGTGGTTTAAATTAAAGACACTACTGTCACATATTTCTGAATAATTAAAAGCAACAGGAAACACATTTTTGAATGTCATTATCTTCTGTGTTGAAATACTTCTGGTAATGACTGGCCATAAAAAGAAGTGGTAATCTTCACATTGATGAAGTTCAAGTTATAGATTTTTTTTTTTAATTTCTGTTTATTCGCCAAATGTTTGGTCTTAAACTGTACTTCATTCCCACGGAATATCTGAAAAACGGAGAGGCCACTGTTTGTGAATGGAGACCTCAGTGTTTTCCAAGGGGTGTCAAGCAATTTGCTCATATTTCTGAAAACGAGAAATTTTAAAAATGATTTAAGTTTTGTTTGTTTGTTTGTTTTGAGTGGCCAATTTCACTTCAGTGACCTGGGCTAGCTTTCCTTTTGTTAGACAGCCTTTTATCACATTTGAGAGCTCTTAAAAACCACTTTACCAATTCGCGTCACTATTTTAAAACTGGAATGTGAGCCACAGGGTCCTTCTTTGTATCCCTGGGTTGCTACCGAATGCAACCAGACTTGTACAGAAGAGTGCTGGGTTGTTTTTGTTTTGGCTTAAGAAACAAGCAAAAAGGAAAACTTAAAAAGTAAAAAAAAAAAAAAAAAAGGACGTTGGTGGTATTCTCATGTACATTCCCTTTAAAATGCAGATTTAAAAGTGGGGAGAGTGGCTAGCCCCCAGTACCTCCCTGTGTCCCCCCCCCCCCAGCCGACGGGGTGGTGGTGGCCCTTCCTGGGAAGCCTGTCATACTGGCTCCATTTTCACGTGAACTTTATGCTCATTTTTCCCAAGGTCCATTTCGAGAAAGTCTTCGGGTATGTCTTGTAAAGCTTTCCCGCGAGGACTCTCTGCCTGTCCTTCGCCCGCAGGGTGACACTGGCACAGTCCCTGTTTACACGGTCTCACGAGCGCGAGGCACACGGCGGCCATGGCCATGCCGGCCGCGCAGGAATAGAAGGCGCGGCTGTAAACCTTACTCTGGTCCACCAGCAGACCTGGGGGAGAGCACGGCAGTTATTAGCGACACGGGCACAACATGGGCACAGCCCCGCGCTCACCCAGGCTCCCCTCGAGGGCTGAAGCTTCTCCGTGGCTTCGCCTTCTTGGCTTTCTCTAAAGAAACAGGAGTGTTGAAGGTGGGCATCTTTTCCAGACTGGGGAGAAGAAATAAGTCAGGACAAATACGGCAGAGGCCACTGTGTTGCTAGCATGTTCTTCACGGGCTAATCTGTCCTCGTGGAGAATAAAACTTGGGACAGTTAGAGGCATGCTTCTTTTTTCTTTTTTCTTTTAAGATTTTATTTATTTGAGAGAGAGAGAACGAGCAGTGGGGAGGGGCAGAGGGAGAGAGAGAGAGAGAGAGAGAAGCAGACTCCTCGCTGAGCAGGGAACCCGATGCAGGACTCGGTCCCAGGACCCTGGGATCATGACCTGAGCCGAAGGCAGACGCTTCACCGACTGAGCCCCCCAGGCGCCCCTGCATGCTTCTTTGAAAAGGAAATATTTTGAACAGAAGGAAGAGCCTTACTATTTTCACTTAATTTCTGTTGGGTTCACTTCAGGGATCTTTTAAAAGGTGGTAGGATTTCCCTCGTAATATAACTTTTAAGGACCTATTCAGGGCCAAGGTATGAAGCACACCCAAGTCCTTCCCTACAAGAAATATTTTGTAGTAATCAATGAAGTACTTGCAAGTGTGCTCTGGGCCCAGTTCCCTCATACCCTTCCTTCCTTAGAAGGGCAGGTGACTTACAAAAGTCCCTCGGGGCTGCTGTAGCAAAGTCAGAGGGTAATGGGGTGATACATGGATGGGGTCCCCTCTAGCACAGCCAAGGCAAGATGTTAGCAAAAAGCCCAGGGTAGCCTGGACCGCAGACGCGCGTTCTAATCCCAACCTGGTCACTCATTTACCATATCATTGTTAGCTGCCCTGCTTTGACCTTCAATTTCCTCATATGTAAGTCAAGAGAGTTGGCTCAGGTAATCTCTAATCCTGCCAGCTCTGAAATTCTATGGGACTATAAAAAGCAGTCTTTTTTTTTTTTCTTTTTTTTAAGACTCTAGCAAGAAGCAAGCACAATTCATAAGTCAAGAGTAGACAAGGGTACATATTTTTTGTGTATTTAAATTACCTGCAAGGGGTGGTCCGGCCAGTCCTGCTATACTCTGAATGAAGACATACACACCAGCAGCAGAAGACATCTTCTCGATTCCCACGACATCGTCTTCGGCGAGCAGCGGAATGTGGGTACCCCCTACCGTTCCAACCATGAAACCAAAAAAGATGCTACATGACATGAGACCCCAGAATTCGGTCGCGAAAGTGAAGGCAAAGAGAGACACCGTCAGTAAGATGACGCAGATGAGCTCGATGTAGATCTTGCGAATGGGCTCTCTGTTGAGGACACAACCCGCTCCAATCCTTCCAAAAACTTCGGCAATGGCCATCGTGGATAACAGAAAAGCAGCTTGCTCCTGCTCAATGCCTAGACTGATGCCCAAGGGAATGATGTACAGGGAAGGTGCAAAGAACCCCAGTGTTGCAAAAAGCCCAAATAACGCGTAACAGATAAAACTTCTGTCTTTCAAGATTGAGAAGTCCAATAAAGGGGCTTTCTTATCGCCGGGCTCGGAGCTGGTCTTCACCAGGATCTGCTGCATGTCGGCCTTCGGCCCCAGTTCTGTGTTGGCATGACTAGGCACATTCTTTGGTGAGGTAGTTAGTTCTACTCCTGAGTCAATGGAGTCTATTGAGGTGCGTGTTTTCTCATTTTCGAGCATATATTGCACTTCTTTCCGATTCTCATGGGCGGTTGCTTTCGGGGACCCTGGTCCTCTGATTATAATTGGTCTTAGCAGCGCCCCGCAGACAACGATGTTCAGCTGCAGCAGGCCCACGAAGAGGAGGCTGTATCTCCAGCCAATGTTGTCCTTCAGAGCCGTGATTGCTTGATTAAGGTGGGAGCGGAGAGGAAATAAAATCGAAGGTCAGAAACAGACTCGAGACCCAGGAGGAAATACCGAGCCGAAATGGGGATTCAGACTTGTCATGACTGCTGTAAAAACATACTCAGCAGTGCGAATGCAGCCCACCTGCCCTATATCCTCTATGCTAGGTGTTGATGCTTTTAGGAACCAGGGAAGGAGAAAATGGGCGCGGTGATGGTTAGCTATAAAGCCACGCTTGGTGGCCCGAGGTCTCCAAAAGAGCTTTGGAGGGTGCGTTTTGCCAGGTGGAGGCCTAAGACATGAAATCGGCTGGTGACCTACTTGCAGGTTTGGCAAATAGCAGCCTGCAGGCCAAACCCAATCCACCGCCTGTCTTTGATAATAAAGCTCCCCTGGAATGCAGTCACGCTCATTCGGCTGATGGGCCGAGCGGCGGCTTCTGGCCGTTACCGAAAGTCTGAGCGGTTCTGACAGATCCTCATAGTCCCCTGAAAGCCTATGTACGGTATTTACTGTCTGGCCTTTTAAAAACAGAATTTCCCACCTCTGAGCTCGATCACTGTTCCTGCACTCATGATCCTTAGTAGTGACGGGTTAAGTAAAAAGATAAACGAAGGCCCCCAAAAGCTCGTGATCATCCCAGAATTAAGTGATGCCAGGGTTCTACGGTTTCTGCTCGGCAGACTGTCCTTAACTACCCGAGTCCTGCTCCTTCCTGCCAGGAAGCTGGGTCCTTGGCTGCTGGATGCGGAAAGGTGAGGCTGGGGCGACGGCCAGAGGAAGCATAAAGCCCCACAGTGACAACTGAATAAAGCAGGCCTCGCAAGACCCTGAAAGTAATCTTCGTAATCAACCCAGAAAGGTTAAATGATATTCAGTAGAATTTTATTATAGTCTAATTCTTTGAGAGCATGTCTATGAAGACATGCTAAGCTGGGTATCTAGAAGTTGCGGGGAGGGGGCATTTACCTTTATAGCATGTTTTTATGCCTCCCATTCCTCTCATTCATGTGGCAAACTTCCGATTGCAAAATATTTTAGGCTTAGGGTTGTTTTGTTTTGCCCCCCTTTTTTTAGTTTTTATTTATTTACTTATTTTAAGTAGGCTCCACGGCCATCGTGGGGCTTGAACTCACCACCCAGAGATCAAGAGTCGCAGGCTCTACCCACTGAGCCAGCCAGGCGCCCCTAGGCTTGGGGATTTGGAAAAGCTTTACACTCATCTGGCAAAAGTGGATGCAATCTTCCTTTCTCCATTTCACATTTCTTGAGTGCCTACCGGGTACCAGGGAGATGCCCCATGCTAGGGAACAAAGCTGACCAAGATAGAGTTTCCACCCTCAGGGCATTCACAGAGCACTGATGCTCCCCTCAACATGTTATTTTGAAAAATTTCAAGCGGATGGCAAAGTGGAAAGAATGATACCTGTCTGCCCTTTGCCTAAGTTCAATAACTAACATTTCTTCTCTCTCTCTCTGCCCGTCTTCCTATATATTTATATGCACACACACATTCATTTTTCTGAACCATGTGAAAAGCTTCAGACATTAGGACATGTTACCCCTAAATACTTCTACATTATCTCCTTTGAACAAAGTGTAGTCCACTGACACATTTTTCAAGAAATGGCAAAGAAATGAATCTGGGTCTCCAAGGTTAACCATTTACTACCTGTTAGAGTGTAATTCACCTACTGATGTTGAGGTAGCAAAAAAAACAGGGATAAAAATTTTGCTGTGAGGATGCCTGGGTGGCTCATTGGGTTAAGTGTCCGACTCTTGATTCTGGCTCATGTCACGATCTCAGGGTCGTGAAATCGAGCCCCGTGTCTGGTTGGGCGTGGAGCCTGCTTGAAATTCTCCCTCTCCCTCTGCCCCTTGTGCGTGAGCACGCACGCGTGTGCTCTCTTTCTCAAAAAAAAATTTTTTTTTGTTTTTGCCGTTAAGATTACCCACACACAGATAATAAAACTAGCTTCATTAGCATATTTTAAATCCACGTTGAACTAACTTCATTAGCATATTTTAAATCCATGTTTAACGAAGGAAATAATAATATGAATAATCTCAAATCATTATCTTATTTATTTTGTTTGGAATGGATGTTTCAAGGCTTCCCACTGAATATGTGTCTTGCATCTTCCTATTTATGTCAACTTAGATTAGTGTTACAGTGTCTGAAATCCTAAAACGGGATTAGGGAGGACAGATCCTACAAATGGGCTGGAGGAGAGAAGGCAAATAATCTTTCTCTGTGAATACAGTTAAAGTCAGCCCTCAGCTGACTGTTGGCAGGAGCAGCTGAGCGGCCTCCCCCAGCCCATCGGCCCCCGTGGACTACCGCAGTCCACCTACCTGGGGCGAAAGCAAACATCGCGAAGCATTCTCCCGTGGAAGCAAGTGCAGTGACCACAGAGCGCTTTTTGTCAAAGTACTGAGATAAAATGGTGACAGTTGGTAGGAAGCTAAAGCAGTATCCCAAACCTGAAAGAAAGCCGGAAAGAGCAGTCAGAACCACGTACGGACTGATCCCAGAAGGGTGCATTCAAAGATCTGGGATTTTTGTGTTTATTTTTGTTTTAGTATTTAATTTAAGCTACGTATGTATGTATGTATGTACTTTTAGGGATGACTCAGTTTTTTTATATTCTGTGCCATGTCAAAAAGACATTTTTGCTTTTCCAAAAGATTAGGTGCCAACATGGACTTTGGTCACAGTGCATAACAATTTGAAAATAATACCAAAAAAGTTAACAACCAGACAATCTAATTTCTTGGAAATCCAAACAGTCCATTTCCGAAATAATTCCTGGGCAAAAGGGGAAATAGAAGCTGCCATTATAAACTGTTTGGTGGGGGAGGGGCGTTTATTTTTTTAAATTGTAAGTTCTGACTTACAGAGCCAAGAATTTCATTCTGGAAAAAAAGGTGCTGTAACAAAAAATAAAATAAAATAACATAAAATAGGTTTCATTAGAGGTCTAGAGAAGATGTAACCATTGTTTTTGGGATGCTAGGAGTATAAAACTGTTTTCTGTTTTTTTCCCCCTATTTTTCTGCATTAAAACAATTTCTATAATTCACAATGGACAGACTATTATTGAATATAGTTTTTAAAGAAGACTTGTATTTGGAAATCAATGAGCTTTGTTAAGTGCAGAAATATATGAAAAGTGCGAATCTTCACTAAACACGTATATCATCTGTTAACGTGTGGACTCCTTTTAAAGGGAAAAGAGTTCCGCTGCTGCACCCTCCCCTGTGTCCTGGAAGCCTCACATTCCCAATGTGGAAATACCCGCTAAAGAAACTCAAATCTTACTTTATGAAAATGATGCCTTTGGCTGCAAACTCATGCAAAAAAAGTTATCTTTCTCATGGGTAAATATATATATTTTTAAAGCCCGTCAGAAACTCTGGGGCACTGGGAGGAGGTTCCCATAGCCCCGGGAGTCCATCCAGCCTGGTTCAGAACCACTGATCTGGGACACTATTGATTTCAAAGAAAAAAAAAAGAGAAAGGGAGACAGAAGTACTCTTTGGGCTGCACCCCCTCCTTCCCCTTCCTTGTTCTTCAGATTGGGTATTTCTTTCGAGCCCGGGAGCAACACTTACCGGATATGATGCCGATTGAGATGTACATGTGGTAGAGCTCCAGGGAGAAGGAGGCCATCACCATTCCCGTGCTGACAAGCAGGCCCCCTGCCATCACTACCAGACGGTGTCCAAAACGGGTGCTCAGGACAGCAGAAAGGGGAGCTGCAGATAAGGATCATAATGTGGTATTTTATTTCTTATGTTAAGATTTTACTTATTTATGGGCGCCTGGGTGGCTCAGTCGTTAGGCGTCTGCCTTCGGCTCAGGTCATGATCCCAGGATCCTGGGATCGAGCCCCGCATCGGGCTCCCCGCTCCGCGGGAAGCCTGCTTCTCCCTCTCCCACTCCCCCTGCTTGTGTTCCCTCTCTCGCTGTGTCTTTCTCTGTCAAATAAATAAATAAAATCTTTAAAAAAATAAAATAAAATAAAAAGATTTTACTTATTTATTCTATTTATTTATTTTTTAGAAAGAGAGAGCGGAAGGAGAGAGAATCTCAAGCAGACCCCGCACTGAGTACCGAGCGGCACGCAGGACTCGATCCCACAACCCTGAGATCAGCACCTGAGCCAAAAGCAAGAATCAGACGCTCAACCAACTGAGCCACTCGGGGGCCTCCATAATGTGATACTTTAACTCCAAAGGCATAAGTGTGAGCTTTCTTCAGATTCCTTTTCTTGGGATGCCTGGGCTCAGGTCATGATCTCAGGGTCCTGGGATCGAGCCTCGTGTGGGGCTCCCTGCTCAGCGGGGAGTCTGCTTCTCCCTCTGCCTGCCCCCCCGCCCCATGCTCTCTCATGTGCGCTCTCTCTCTCAAATAAATAAAACCTTTAAAAAACAAGATTCCTTCTTTTAAGCCTTGAACATGGAAAGATGATGTGTGATATATAATGCATTTTACACAATGGTTATATATGTTCAACCGGACAGTGTATTTTTTAGGCTTCTTAAAGAGAAAGCCAGAATAACAGTATAAAACTTACAGCGATATTTTTAGATGAAAGTGACGTAAACTCGCCATAAGCACTTATAAAGTTAGATATGCATTTAATGTATGTTATTCTGTCATAAAAATGGGCTTTCCCGTGATGGCTTGAATCGTTTCCTTTTTCTACAGTCACTGCTTTGGATTCTTTTTTTAAAAAAGCTCCATTTCGGGTCAGTTTCTAGCTCAGTTTCATTTGACTTTTCTGAAAATGATATGAAAGTAGAGTGAATTCTCTGTTGAACACCCCAAAAGGAGGACAGCCGTAAGATAGATAATTCCGAGTGGCTGAGGGATTATCATTCATTAAGCTTCTATACTCCATATCCTGAAGAACATTTAAGTCTGATAAATTCGTTTCCTGGTGATATGTTACTTAGGCTGACCCTGACACTGACTTGAATATACAGAGATGAGGGAACCTTTGATAACTGGATAAAAGCACAACACAGAACATGCTGGATAGAGGAGGGGAAAAAGGACTAAATTTTGTTGGGGTTGGTGCATATATAACCCTTATGTTAGTAGAATATAAACCAATATTGAATATAGCTCATAATGAAACCACTCTCATCAGCTTTAGGTAGTATGTTGGCTCAAAGCATTAACTACTATAATAATAGCATTTAGGAGACTTATTTTCTGGTATAATAGTATTAACTGGAAATTTCTTATTGACCGTATTGTTTTTGGTTATAAAAGAGCTCAAAGCAAAGCTTTGGCATTTTTTTTTTTTTAAAGATTTTATTTATTTATTTATTTATTTATTTGAGAGAGAGAGAGAGAATGAGAGGTAGAGAGCATGAGAGGGAAGAGGGTCAGAGGGAGAAGCAGACCCCCTGCCGAGGAGGAAGCCCGATGTGGGACTCGATCCCGGGACTCCAAGATCATGACCTGAGCCGAAGGCAGTCGCTTAACCAACTGAGCCACCCAGGCGCCCCTGGCATTTTCTTTTTATTTAGATTACCAAAGGTAAAATTTTAGCTCAATTTACTTCAGTTATCTCTCCAAGAAAGTCAACTTTCCACAATTAAAAAATTGAGTATCTTAATACTCAGTTAAACCCAAACTAGGAACTCTTCCGTGAAGCTTGCAAGACAGATTATTAGGAGTAGTAAGAGAAGTTTGTTACTCGATAGGAAAGGACCGGGGAGCTGCCTCTTTTAAGACATTTTATGGCTGAAAACTAACTAGAATTAAAGAAAGAAAACTTCAGAGGTAACAGTTCCATTGGCAGGATATTAGGGTAAAGTCAGGGAAGTGTAAGGTCAGCCCCGTTAGCTTTCTGAGGTGAGTTCAGTAGCGTGTTTTCTCGGAAGTCCTCAGTGTGGCCCCTGGCAGACGGATGGACCATCGTGAGAATCAGGCCCGTAGGGGACCCAGTGAGAATGAACATGTTACAGGTTATACTCAAACCCCATTTTCTCTGAAGCTGTTGGATGTGGGAGTTCTGCACGGTGGCTAGCCAGTGAAATCCTTTAGGGAAGCAGGTGTTTGGAATTCATCCCTTCTGAATGAGGCTTGTCACTTTACACTCTATCCTATTTCACACCCCCTCGTTCTTCATCATGCACCCACATTTTATGTGCCGAGCCTGTTTGCCAAACATGTTTTTATGAGATCAGAGCCGAGGATGCCAAGTGCTTTTGCTGTTGCGTCTTTAGAAAATGACTATACAGGATGGAGGTTTACTGGGGGCCTCAAAGTCATCTACCATATCCTAAAAGTGTGCATACAGTAGGTGTTTAATGCATGTGTGTATACACTGAAGGCCATCGGGGTGGCAGATACGGCCTTTTCCTTCGGCACCTCTCGTTTCTTGCCATCCCCAAACCCCTGAAAACCGTATCACTTATTTGAGGCTTGAAAGGGCCCACAGGTCATAGAAGGAAATGCATCGCAGACAGGATGGGTACCATTATGTAGTTAAGCCAGTGAAAAGGGGTACATGGTTACATGTTGTTTAAACAGAAAGAGGTACTAACCTGTAAATGTTAAGACAAATACACATATTGATATGACCCACGAGATCCTGCTATTAGATTCATCAAAACTGTCCATTAAGTCATTAAAGAAGACACCAAATGACTTGATGATGCCATAGGTAAAGACTTCAACGAAGAAAAAAGACACAGCTACCACCCAGCCCCATCCTCCATCAGGCACTTGAGTATAAACAGTGGCTCTGGAACAAAGCTGTGATGTCTTTTGGGTCATTCTTAATCTGAAATAAAAAATTAAAAAAAAAATTCAGACCAGCAATAGGGTTGATGCTTCCGCCACTCTTTAGCCAACGTTAAGAGACAAAAACTAAGTACCATAGTTCTTAGGGTGAGGAATATTTAAATAATGTGCAGTTACTATAAAGTCTTTGGATAACAGTTACATATTTATTTAGTGGTCACAGCTGGGGAGTGTTACTTCCAAATTCTTTTGTATTTGTATTGTAGATGGAACCCCCGAAGAATTGGGAAGTAAGACTTCCCAGCTGTGACAATAAATGGGAAAAACAAACAGAAGGAATCAGAACGGCATAGGTAGGGGCAGCCCAAAGGACACAGAATGGCCACCAGACCCAAGTATTGATGCTGACCTTGAACTTGAAGACAAGTTAGGTAAAGGAAGCTTGAACTGATCATAAGGCATGTTGATCAGAAATGAAGCCTAGAAATTGGGAGGCTAAGAGGCCGACATTGACATTCCATCTAGCACCTTCTATGGGATAAGTGTTTGTGACATCCTATAGACACCCTATGCATCTCTGCCTGATGCTCCTAGCCATTCAGATCACTGATCCCGTTTCTCGCTCAGTCTGATTATGATCTGGCGTCCCCTGTGGAGGTACCTACATGTGAGAACTCTGTCTTCTGGGAGTTTGTTTAGCACAGATAAATTCCTCAAAGTTGATCACCACTTGATGTATCAGCAATTGACAAATACTCTAGAATACAGTGACCAAAGAAAGCACTACAAATTTGCAGGCAAGTTACCCCGACCTTAATATGCTTTTCCATTTGAACTGCAACAAACATCAGAGCAAAATAGACCTGTGCCCGAAACACCACTAGTAAGGGGATACACTATATTTAACACTGGAGGGAGGATGGGTGAACCTGAGTCTTCCCCACTGGGTTCTAACACTCATTTGCAGAGCCCCTGCAATTACATGCCCTTTGAAACAGTGATATGTTGGCTAATTGAACATAATAAAAAATAAATAATTTTTAAAAGTAAAAAAATAAAAGAAACAGTGATGTGTTTTTAGCCCAACCTCGAATTAATATCTATAATAATACATGAGTCCACGGTCTTAGAACACTTGGAATTTAAGAATTCTCTACAATCGTACAGTTGCATACAGGTGAATTTTCAGGATGTGTGGGTGTCCTTTTCCTGGTCATAACTTCTGTTCAAGTACTAAGGCAGGTTTTATTGATAATGCAGGGCAACTGAAAAATAAGAGGACACAACCTCATCTATCCAGTCGACTTGCCAAGTTTTGGGATTAGGATCTAATATTGAGTTTACTCTATAAATCCTAAAAAAGCAGCACATCTGACCTGACTTCAGTAGCGTTCATCCTGTCGAGGGCGCCATTCCCACCGTAGCCCGGGGTCTCTAAAAGGACAGTGTACTCACTTTCTGTCCTTTACTGTTAAATATTTGATTGAATGAAATAGGGCGTAAGATGCTTAAAAAAGCTTATGCTCTCTGCAGCAGAGACCTCTGCATTTTGATGTGCGTCAATGTGTCCTTCCTGAGAGCACTTGCAAAGCGGGGGAGGCCAGTTAAATGCCTCAAGATGTAGGCTGAGCATCGATAGAACAGTTTTGCCATTAGTGCTCCCTAACATGGAAAGCAGCTGATTTAAGATGGAAGTGGGGAGCCCTCCCCCAAATGAGGTTTTCACAACACCCCTCCTTCATTACACTTTCCAAAATGCACTCCCAAGATGAAGCCAGCTGGGGCAGGAGTGAGACAGTGCTGGGCTTAAGATCTAGAACACCAAAAATAAAATAGAAGTACTTCCTGGCAATAGGGTCTATCTAGTATTGAGTGTTTATCCCTAGGGAGAGGTGGAGGGGAGAGTGGGGGGAAAGCGGTATGAGCCCACAGCTTCTAGGGAAAGCTTAGGTCCTTAGCTTCACCCCTTCTGGTTCATCCCCCCTACCAGGCTGTTCGTTTGGGCTTTTCCTTGTGGAGTCCCAGACTCCTTCACTAGCCTAACTGGTTCTGTGCGTCCAGTACGATTAATCTCTTTGAAATGCTGCACTGTTAGGACATTTTCTGCTTAGTCTTTTTCAGTGGTGTTCCTCTTTCTGAAGGATAAATAAAACCCATGGATTAGCCTGGCTTTCAACGCCTTCATTGTTGGACCCCACCCTCTTTTTGTAGCCGTCTCGCTTCCAGTTCTAAGACTTGACTCAGGCTCTGGTCCAAATGGATTCCTCCTTGCCCTCCCGTCCCTAACCACCTTGTCTATCGCCACACCCTTCCCGCTCACCCCCCGGGGGGCTAGGTGCCCCCCTTACAGCAGGTACCTGTCAGGCCCCAGGCCATCATATCTTCCTTCCTCCATAATGCTTCCTCTCACCCACTTAACCTAGGGGGTTCTCTTCGCGTGATAGGTATCCCTTAGTAATTGGGGTATTGTTTACTTGTATGTGTTTATCTTATTTGATCAATTAAATTATAAGCTCAAGGAAGACAAATCCTGGGGCCTTGAACTCTTTGTACCTTCTTCTCCCTTCCCACCTCCAGACCCTGCACACAGTTGGTATTTAGTTTTTCAACAAAGTGCCTATGAGGAGCCAGGCCCTATGCTAGGCACCAGGGATACTCCAGTGAAAGACAAGAGGGATGGTCTCTGTCGCTATGGACTTAAATCTCTGTTGATGGTAATGACAGGAACCCTAAGCCTGAAATTCATAGTAAAACCATTTGCCACGTCCTTCCAGAGCTCAGCACGTTTCTAACAGGCAGTTCGGCTAAGTGGTAACCAAGCCCAAGGACCTACTGGCGCGATTGTTCTAACCCAGAAGGGTGCCCAGATGACCTTAGGGCTCAGGACCAACCTGAATAAAGACATATTGAGATAAAACTGATCAAGGCCCCAAAGAGACAGACTGAAATTTCTCTCTAGCCTAAAACCACTACGGGATCAACAGACAGAATCTTTACGTTGGGACTGCATGTAGGATAAGATTGCTGTTTTTGTATGAAGAGGGTGTTACCTATCCATCGTCAGAAGTTTCTGGTGATGGGTGCCTACCTCACTCTTTCTTTGTCCTTTATGATTTGTGGTTTGGACGTGCAACACAGGTGGGGTTCCCATCAACCGGGAGCCTGGTGGTGTTACAATTTTGGAATGTTAACTCGGAAAGGGGATTTGGAGCTCATCTGTCCATCTCATTGTAAAATCGTACTCATTTTGCAAAGGGGTAAGAACTAAACCCAAGAGAAGGCACTTGACCTAAAGGGCCCAGAATCAGGTCTCCTGCCTCCCGGGGTCCTGCCTTATCAGTCTAAGGGACATCATTTGGAAAAGGCCCAGAAGGGGGTGTCTTAGGTAGAGATTTTGTCTGCCTTTCAGAGACAAAAACTCCCCTGATCTCCATTAGTCAAGGAGGTTGGCCTGGACGCTCTTTAAGGTTCCATTCTGCTTTGGCAGTTCATACTCTTGTATTCAGCATGCAATCTGAATACTTGGAATCTCCTGATTCCTCAGGCCAAACCTGGTGGCCCAGGGAACCTGGGAGCAAGCAGGAAAGTGCAAATGCTAGATGGTTCTTGCAAATGGAGGTGAAAAGTAGTTGGACCCTGCTTAGACCTGATCTGTGGTGGCTGCTTAGATGGAAGACTTGACTGCTCTCATCTGTGGACTTTCTGAGCTCCCTCTGGGTGTTCGATGCCTTTGTTTTTGTAAACTTTGCTTTACATCCGTGCTACTCTCCTGAAGCAAGATCCTTCTAACAGAACTTTCACCTGCATTGTTAGGTTTCTGGACAACAGAAGCTTTCTTATCATTACTGGGAACATCATAAAGGGAAGATGACACCCCCAAACCCACTCTTCCTCCAAACGTTATGCCTCTATCATCCTAAAACATCGCATGTCCTATCGTATTTAGCTTTGAAGATAAGACCACAATCTAGAATAATCGTAGAATAACCTGGTTTCTGAAACATACTGGATGAGAAACTCTTGTGTTGTTCATGTCCGAGCGCCTAGAAGGGTGATCGGCAGCTCTTTCCAGACCCACAGCCTGGCAGTGTGTTCAGACATAGTAGGTGCTCAATAAAAGTTCCCTAGACAACGTAGGAGTCTGGGCATGCTGCTGAAGCAGGGCCCTGCGCTAGCCTTATAAAACACAAGTGAGGAAGTCCCTGCTTGCAGAATAAATCCTTTCCTGGTCTCCTCTCCTTTTTATACGTCCATTCATTCCATAGGCCAACTGGCTGAAAAGTGTCCGCCTCCACAAAGCTAGAAACAAAGGCCTGAATTTTGCACTCTGTGACTTAGAAGCTCCTATGAGTTCCAGAATACAAAATACCGTCTGGTTCATTTTTTTGGTGATGTGAACTTAGCTTACAGAAAGGGAAATTGGTTTACTACGTGGGGGTCTAACTGGTGAGGCATCCTGAGGGGCCACATCACTTTGCTCCTTGATTTTGTGCTGTCAGCGGTAAGTAGGAGAGTTTTGCTCATCTCTGATCTCACCTTGTCCTAAGAATCTATGGTTTTAGCACAGCTTTTGAGCCTGACTTGCTCTGAGTTACACTTTCATCCTTCTTAACTCTTGAGCCCTTTGGGGCAAAGCCCATGGGTTTGTCAGTTTGAAGCCCCTGGGCATTATTTGTTGAACGTCTGTTTACCATTAACTGGCTGCACAATCTTGGGGAAATCACTTAATCCCTAAATTTCATCATCTGTAAAGTAGGGGTTAGACACTGCGGATTTGAGGGGCTCTCCCAACTGTAAAATTCTACAACTGGGGTTCCTGGCAGCCAACCCGCCTGCACCCACATGTTTCCCCAAAGGAAATACAATGACCAAATACACGGGGGCAGTTTGTAGTATTCCCGGTGAGTATTCAGTTGTCTTAACCTTAAATAAATGAGGCTTCTCCCAAGGCACGGAAGTCGGCTCTACCTGGGGATTGCACCATGAGTCCATTTGTTGAGTAAAGACTGGATTTGGGGGCATCCAGAATGCAAAATATTGGATTATTACAGACCATCAGAGTGTCAGTCCAGGGTCAGTTCAGAGCAAAGTTCAAAATGCAGCCTTTGGATGGAAGTGGTGGTGACTGCTGGGATAAGCCAAGCCTCTCGGCAAACGCCCTCCCAATCTCTGTTCTGAAAGGCGTAGCCCAGAGAGAACAGCTTTCGACAAGTTGTTTCCAGCCCCAGTTGTCAAAACCAGTCTGCATTTAGGTGAAGTTCATTTGAATTCTCTATTTAAAAAAAGTCCCCAGCCTAACCTGGACGTCTGCCTCAGCAGCTCTGAGTCATCAGCTACCGATTCACCGATTCCCCCATTTTACAAGATCATGATGTTGAAACCTGAACCCCTACTTTAAGTGTCCTCCTCAGGAGTTCCACTGAGGAAGGTCCATTTTTGGAAACCACAGAAGGAAAACTCACAGTTAGTGGTACTCATTAAGACAGAAGGAGCTTTTCCACTTGGCTGCATTGTTTATTTACAAACTGGAACTCTCTGTCTTGGCCACCCTTCCCTTAACTATGAGAAAAGGTATTTCTTTATCCCTGGGGCAGGATGTATTGTTGACCCCAAAAATGCCGCATAATGGTGCTTGGGACATGGGAGGATGCATCGCTTAGAAATTTCAGCATAAGCACTTGGTATTTTTCTGCAGATGAGACATTCATCTTATGATTTGCACAACAGTAAGATTACTGAGAAATCTCATTCCCAGGGTAGACACCCTCTCCGGCAAGAAGGAAATGGCACGAAGTGTCTAGCAAGAAGGAAATGGCACGAAGTGTCTAACAGTGCAAACAAAACCAGCTTCCAGGTTGTCAAGTTGTAATGCTCTTCCCCAGTTGGCCCTGGGGAGCTTTGTCTAAGACTAAAGACACCCCGTGTTGGGTGACATTTTCCGTGCCACCTAACAAACTTCTGTCACCTGTCTGCCGGGGAAGAGTGGGGGGGGGGTTCATTTTAAAATAGAAAAAAAGCAAAGAAAAGGGGGGAAAAAAACCCTGAAGGAAAGAACCCATTTCCTCTGCAAAATCATCCTCCGCAACTACGGAAGTGCTCAGCCACTCGGGCGCTTTCCTGCGGTTGGCAGCCCCAACCAGGAACCTTGGAAGTTGAGCGGGACCAGCCGTCAGGCGCTGACAGCTCGCACGGTCAAGGTGTAGGATCCGCGCGCTCTGCAGGGCAATCCCTGCCTTCCCTCTGCGGGGCCACGCTGGCTGCCCCGGGTGCCTGTGCCAAGGGCGGGGGGTGCACAGGGATTCCCACTTGCCCTCGCGCTGCCTCAGTGGCCAGCCTGCGCGCGCGCGCGAGCCTGGGGAAGGTACCTCTGACATTTCGCTCTTGTGACGCGCAGGCAACTTCATGCGGAAAATCCACGCAGGGGTGAGCCGGGCTCCCCCCACTCGCCCGATGGCCTGAAGCCCCTAATCCGGGGCGGGGGGCACTCCAAACCAAGCCTGCCTCTAGTTATTTTCCGGACCCCAACTGCCAGGGCCATGGGCATTCAACTCTCAGCTGCCCACACTGGCGAGAGCGCGTCATCCCGGTGGCCCTGGGCATTCCCAACTGTCAGAATATTTTTCAGAATAACCTCTCCAAAATGTTAAGACGTGAAGTGGTCTCCCCCCGCCTCCCCCACCAAAAAGATAAATAAATAAATAAGACTCCCAACACAGATTTAAAAAAAAAAAAACCCACACCCCACAATCAAACTTTTAAACATGTAAAATAATAAAACCAACTCACCAAGTTAGAAGGAAGAGAATAAACCCCAAAAGGCTCCCAATAAGGCGGAGGCTTGGCCTCCCCCTCCTTATAAGCCGCTCGGTAACATGAGAAAGGTTTAACCCTTTAGGGCGTGGGCCCGAGCCTACCGCAAATTGGCTCCGGCGGGTGAGCACCGGGCGCCCGGCCCGCAGCGCCCGGGCCCCGGCCCCCCACCCACGGCCGCGCCTCGGACACCCCGGCCACACCCTCCCCCCGCCCCCCACCCCGGCTGCCTGCGCCCGGACCCTGCGTGCTGCTGCCCGCGCCCCGGCCCCGCGTCGCTGCCTATCCCTTATCCTATACCGGCTGCAGCCGGTCTCCGCCGGCCTCGGGGGCGCGCCGCCGCCGACCATGTGCTGCGAGCGCCGAGCGCCGCCAAGGAGGGGGCCGGCCTGGCGCGCGCGCGCCGGCCCACGTGGACCGGGGCCGCGCCGGGCGCGCGGCCGCCCGGGGCCCGGGCGGGGGGTCACGGAAGGTAACGACGTCTGGAGCGAACCGCAGGGTCCCGCGGGGCCACCCCCGCCCCTGCGGCCGGGGTCCCTGGCACGCCGCCCCGCTCCCCCAACCCCCCCCTCTCTCCCGGGCGCTGCCTTGCGCGCCGGCCCGACCGGACCCCGCGGCTTTGCTGCACCGCCGGCGGGCCGCGCGGCCGTGTTCGGGGAGCCTGCACCTCTCCCCCAGCACCCCTGGCCGGGCGCGCGCGCGGGGCCCCGGGGCCGCTTCCCTTCCCGCAGCGCCCCGGCGCTCCCAGCGCCCAGTCCACCCGCGCCTGGAGGATTTGGGGATTGGCTGGGGGCGGGCGGGGAGGGGAGCACCGGGGCTAAACCCGCGGGGCGCTCGCGGCTGCGGCGGCTCCGCGTTCGCCCCGGGCAGAACAGGTTCCTTCCAGTTTGGGTGTGAGCTGCGCGCGCGGCGCCGCGAACCCCGGGTTCCTCCTCCAGCGCCCACTTCCCCCCATTTCGTCAACTCGCGCCTGGTTCCCCTTGTGGGACCGCGGGGGAGGGATTGCCGCAGTGAGCCCCAGACAGCTAGTGGCCCGGCTGCTACGAGTGCCTTGCTTTCCCCGTTTTGCAGCAGCAGCGGCGGCAGCAACAGCATCCGCGTTGCGCGAAGGGGATGTGAGCAGCCGGGCTGAGTCAGCATCCCCGGTCGGGGCGCGCGCGCATCCTCCCTCCCTGGCGGTTGGCGACGTGCACACAGGTGCATGGCTGCCTAATCCGCCGAGAGCCCCCAGGACGGGAGGGACCCGGACGGTTAGGGAGTCCGTGCCCCTCCTCCCGAAGTCCCCGACCCCAAGGTCACTGCGAACTCGGCGGATGATGCCCGGGAAACCAGTTACGAGCTTGCCATGGGGACAAAGCAGTGTGTCGTATCCCAGGCATTTCGGAGCCCGCGGGGGCGCAGACTTGGCTTCCTGGTCTCCACCTCATCTACCCAGGGCCAGTTTGAGACCTGCTCGGAAGCAAAGACCTTATTCTCTGCATTTTCCCGTTGGCTTGGGTACGGGTTGCTCCCTCCACTGGGGTTCGAGGAAGTGGTTCTGATGTCAGAAACTCATGAGAGCCTACTTGGGGAGCGCGCGCACGCGGGGTCGCCACCGGGAGGAGTCGGCGGTTTGACTTTTAATAAAAATCCCTTTGCAGTCGCTGCCTGATTTATCTCACGACTGCGGCGATAGGGTCTACTGCGTTAAATGTCGTTGTGTGCTGTTACAGGCTCTGGTGTGGGTTAGGTGGGGAGCAGGTGTGCTCGTGTAAAGTGCTCTGTTACGGGCCAGTACTGTACAGCCAGGGGGCAACTGATGAGCTTTGCAACCTTGTGGAAGTAACTTAACCTCTTGGAGCGTCAATTTCCAAAGCCGTAAAATGGGGTCAGTATCGGTATTCCCAGAATTGAAGGCTCTCATTTATGATGCCTGAAAAGTGCGGATCAAAATGACTGCCTGTGATGAGCCCTTGGTGCCCATTAGCTCTCACTGTTGTTATTTATGGCTTACCATACCGATTGCTGACTCCAGCATCCCCCCACCCCGCAAGCAATCCTTTTTTTCGAGTTGTTCTTGGAAGAATCCACACGTGATGATTTTTAAAAAATGATTTTAATCACTGAAATGAAAACAGTGCTAAAACAGGACTGACTGTAAGTGTAATCTTTGAGACTTAGGATCTCGCAGTGCGTTAGGACCTGCCACTGCGCTCACTAAGGAATTGTCATCTTTAATATGGCACAGTGTCTACTGTTTTGGGTCTTGGGAACCTATGGGTGTAGCCCATTATTTATAACTGAGTGATTCTTTTTTTTTTTTTAAGATTGTATTTATTTATTTGACAGAGAGAGAGACAGCAAGAGAGGGAACACAAGCAGGGGGAGTGGGAGAGGGAGAAGTAGGCTTCCCTTGGAGCAGGGAGCCTGATGCAGGGCTCTATCCCAGATCCCCAGCCCTGGGATCATGACCTGAGCGGAAGGCAGACACTTAACGACTGAGCCACCCAGGCGCCCCTATAACTGAGTGATTCTAATCAAGTCCTGGAAGTTCCTGGTACTTGGGCTTCTTGATTTAAAACATTAGGCAAATCATGCCAAAAGCTCTAGGTGTGAATGAATGATTGAGAAAGTCACATCTGAGTATTTGGCCGGAGTGAAAGCCCTGGCTGTTGGGGAGGCATAACTGTAATGATGATACTAACACCAAATCGCTCTTATTTGATTAATATTAATTAGACCTATTAAATTTTTGCATGATTGCTTTGTTCCCAACACTATTAAATGCCATCCATACGTGTGATCTAACTCTCACCCCATCGGTAACATTCTGCAGTTGACACTACTCCCATTTTACAGATGAGAAAAGTTGATGCACAGAGCCCTGGAGGGCTTCACCCAAGGTCTCACAACATTTATAGACACACCCTGGCCCTTTTTGTAACTAAAGCTCATCCAGAGATGACATTTGCCACCTGCCTTTGGGGAAGGAGTGGGGTTGGAGACCCAATCTCTGCCCAGTCTTGCCAGCCACAAGCCAGGGACTTTTGCTCGCCCTGGTTAGAGGCTGGCTTCGCCTTGGTCCCTTTCCTAGTGAGACCAAGTGTGAACACCCCTGCTTTTTTCACTCCTCCCGGGAAAGCAAAGAGAGGGAAAGCACTGCATTACCATGCTAATCAAAACCCCCCCAAACAAAACTAACTCTGTTTAGTTCTAAATACGAACAAAGAACCCTTGGAGTCTGGAGTACAGAACCAGAAAAATCAGGATATTAAGTTCAGGGTTCAGCCCCCCCTTTAGCCTCTTCTGCTGTGTGTACTGTAACCCCAGTACAGCAGAGCCCCTGGGGTCCTTCATGTGCAGTGGGCAAGGCTGTGAGGATGCCCCTTAAAAAGTCCGTCAACATCTTCTGGGGAAATAAATTGGCTCCTGAGCCTATCCCCTCTGCTCTCTCTTGCTAGCCCTCTTGCTTCAGGTCATTTGCATGAGAACAGATTCCTTTGTGCAAAGTTGGCCGGCCTGTTCTCTGCCTATGTTTATAGCCCTTCTAGTCTTCATGTTGGGTTGCTAGGCAGATATGACCCTGGCTTGCAAATAAGCTCACTGCATTTACCAGCCCGTGAGAACTTAAACTTGGGTAAGTAGACTGAAAGGAATCTTGCCTGGAGCTCCAAGAGGAGCAACCAGTCTTTAGGGCTGGGTCTTCAGAGCAGCCATGAAGAGGAGGAGCATTTGAGGGGGACTCCTTTGGGAGGTGTTGGTCTCCCACCCATCCACTCTTCCTCTCCCTGATTCTGCACCACCACCCACCATCTCACCTGAGGGCCTGTGCCAGGAGGTGTGTGTGTTGGGGGGGGGGGCGGGTGGGTTGGAAACGGGACCCATGTGTATTTGACTGAAGCAAATTCTTGCTTTAAAACTTCAATAAAACTCCAGATAGCAGATAGCAGAGAAGCCCACAGACTTCCTTGTAAGAATTCCAGGTAGATATGTTGGGCTTATCTTGTGGGTGGTGGAGCCTCCCCCAACCCCCACATTTAACAGTTTGAAGGAAGGCAGGACCCTTCAGATGGGCACGCATGCTCCTGGGGAGATTTGCAGATTTGCCAAGGGGACTGAGACACAGATAATTTTAGGGCAATCATTTTCCAGAACATGAGCTCTGTCCTAAAGCCGATTTGCCCGAGAACCCACTGTGGGGCGGGCCTGGTGCTGGGTTAGTCTCGCACGCTTGGCTTCTCCCACATAACCAGAGCCAGGATCTCACTAGGGTGCTCTGCTCCAACTGAAAACATCTCTGGGGTGAATATTGAAATGCTGTGCCAGGGAAGCCTCTCTCTTCAAGTCACCGTGTCCCATCCCCCAGTCCATCTTGTAAAGATGCTTTTGCAATAGTAATAACTTGTCCAGATATACCAATATGTTGTTTGATGATAAATGATCACTTATAATAATAATTGTGATAATAATTCAACCAGAAGGGATTTTTTTTTAACCTTGAGGTGTAAATAACAATTTCAATTTATACACAAAGGTGTAAATTTCAATTTATACACAAAGTCTGTGTTCAGAGAAATAGGATCATTAAGTACTTTTGAATATATATCGTATTGAGATAGAATGGAAATACAGTTTTGAAAAAGAGAGAAAAGAAATGATAGAAAATTCCTAATAAATAAATAAATAAAATAAATATCTGAATACTAAAAAAAAAAAAAAAGAAAGAAAATTCCTGACCTAATGAGAAATGTTCCCATGTAGTTTTTAAATGAATGATGATGGGGTTTTCATACTACTCTGATGTTTATCTTACACTGGATGAAAAAGTGGTTTAAAATAGTTTTACCATAAAAGTAAAAATGATTTATGGATACAGTTGAAACAATATCTTTTGAAACTGGGATGAAACATTGAACATAACTTAAAACTGCATGAGGATGGTATGGACTGAATGTTTGTGGGGCCCCCTGCTGCTCCCAAATTCATGTGCCTAAGCCCTGACCTCCAATGTGATAGGATTTGGAGATGGGTCTCTGGGAGGTGATTAGGTTAGATGACGTCGTGAGGGTGGGGCCCCCATGATGGGATTAGTGCCCTTAACAGAAGAGAAAGAGAGCCTTGGGGGACACAATGAGAAGGCAGCTGTCAGCAAGCTAGACACAGAGCCCTCACCAGACTGTGCTGGGCTCCCAATCCCAGACTTCCAGCCACCAGGACTGCCAGAAAATGAATTTCTATGGTTTAAGTTACCCAGTCTATGGTGTTTTGTTATGGCAGCCTGTGCTGACTGACATGGAGAGGGTTTATTGTTTTTCCAGATTCTTTTAGAGGCTACCCAAGCACAAAAATGTGTAGGCCACTGAGTATGGTCTATATTAATATGAGGACAAGAAAGCTGTGGTCTGCACCCTCTTGGATAAATTCTCCCTGGGGCGAGAAAACAAACCTGGGA